TGCTGCAGCACAGCACACGTCCTGGCGGTGGTGGTAGCAAGTAGAAACCCGCCATTGTCAGCCAGTGAGCCGATACATAGGGTGTAGTCTGTTGGACATGCCATCGTTTCTAGGTTCGTAAATTTCTGCTTGACGAGGGTCACAAGCAGTTGGTGCAGAAGTTGGAGAAGTGGAGCAGGACGGGGAACCTTGGTTTGAATGAGGTAATGGTAAAGCATGTTGGTGGCGTACTCCTGGGCCAGACTCCGTCTGATGTAAAAAGCGCCGAATGGCGCCAAAGCACCGGTGCGCTCAGCATGGATCCATCTGATGAGCATGCAGACGCAGCGAGACAGAGGTCTGGAGTAGGTGTAGTAAGAAACTCGGCTCAATGATCTGAAGTGCGCCTTGGTGCTGAGTAATAGACTATGAGCTATGCACAGACAAAGATGGAGAGTACTCACTTCATTGTTACTGCTTGACGAAACTGCGGGTCATTTTTGGAAGATATATAGGTTTGGACGTCCACAATATATGACCTGTAGAGCTTCCGAATGATAATAAGACCGAGCTCAAGCTGCTTTTCCATTCCCTCCAAGGATAGTGCCTCTTTCTTTGTTTTAAGCCTAACCAACCCACGAAGAACGCCTGGTTGCAGGCCCAGGCTAGCAATAAATTTCTGCCACCCAAGGTCTGTCAAGTATCGACTGTGGACAGAAACCGTATATTGGATGCGAGAGGACCTCACTGAAATAACATCTTGTGCCAAGGATGCAGGAATGTAGTCTTTGATAAAAGGCCAGACTACTGAGAACAGCCGGTCTTCACTATGAACAGTTTTGCGAAAGGGGCGGTAGATCCATCTCATTTCAGGGACCTTAGCCAGATAAATCTTGGCATTTTCGGGATGGGCTTCAGCGATGTGTTTTCTAGTGCCCGCCTGCTGACCCTTGATAGAAGATTTCCCTGCAGGTACAGCATACCAATGACGACAGCCTGGGTGTGGACAATGAGATGACCACTCCGGTTGAAGACCCTGGATGGACTCGGACAAATCACTCGGGGGGCTGGGACAGGGTGTCGTTGCCGTGAGATAGTGGCTGTTGAGTAGGTGGGTAACTAGAACCGATTTAATTGTTGAAGGTGTCCGATTTCTTAACTTCTGTCTGTGGTGGAGGTGCTCCATGTGAACTGACAGGTGAGCAGTAGGCACAAGACTAGATGTAATGTCACAGACAAAACCATACTGCCCAAACGACATTCCCACTGCAGCTAATAAGGGACAGGTGGCGGTAGGGAGTGAGAAGAATGTACTTGACTCAGAGTGCACCGGAGTATGCAATCGTTCGCAGCACACAGCGGACTGCCCACTGGACAACCAGATTTCAAGTGGACCATCGAAGTCCTCCGAGTCTGAGTCAGAGCTAGAATTGGTGTGTGCCTCCAGATGAGCCCGCTTAGAGGCCCTAGTATCACGACGGTAGGTATCTTGCCGCCGTTTGCGCGTCATACTAGTGGATTCCTAAATAAATTCACCTGTAAAAAGTTGAAAAATGTGCGACGACTTACTATTTGATACTGTAAGACAGCAAATTTTGAAAGTTTCGGCAGGGTCAAGGTTCGATGAATTAATCTATTAGTCAAGTATGCGCACTGATATTATAGCATCCAACTTGAAAATGTCCATCAGAAAACCGACTTCGATAAGTCCTTTAGGGTGCGTTACGTTGATTGCGGGGCCTTTACGTTGTAATGTTGCTTTTAGCGACGAAAATAAAGGACATGCTCTGCATATGTTATCAGGTAATGGACATGTGAAAGCAGTCAGCAGACTTGCAAAGATTGTTGCAATGCTCTACATTACATTGCTTTACACGCGCTCTGTCCACCTTTGGACGGTTGTCCATTGATTTATGAAATTCTGACAACAGATGTCTGACATCGTCTGTACACTAGTACGCTAGCCGTCGTCACTTCATTTCCTTCTCGAAAAAGCGCTTAAATGTCTCTACAACCTCATACTCTTGACGGCGCAGCGTACAGCTGTCCTGAATTCGTGCGCAAGTCGAGCACTACTTTCTTTAATGTCAAGTCTTGACTTCTGTTGAACGTTGTTGCAACCTGCGAGGCAGTTCTTGAGCGATATATATATGGACATAATTATATCGGCTTCGCTGCAAAGTTCGTCGGAGGGCGGGAAGCAAGCTTATCAGAGGGACAGTACTAGTAGGCTAAGGAAATGTGAGAGATATTTCGAGGTCACCAAGTCCGAGTCGAGCCGCAGTTGTCTCCCCGCCTTTTTCGTCACAACCTTCATGCGAAGTACAACCGTTGAACCTGCTCTTGGCCTCAAGATATATTTTATTTTTACATCAATTTTATCGTCCGCTGGGGTAGAAGAACCTATGTTGGACATATGAGCCCTATTCGCAGGGGGCTTTGCAAGGACCAATTTTGGAATCCTCAGAGCTTTTCCCAATCCGTGGAAAACCACTGCAAGCGCCATTTTTCCTGCTGGTTGGTTTAAATTCCTTTGACTCATCCGTAGCCCCATGCCATTTGTTTTAACACCTGCGCGAAGGCACTCACGTGATGACGTGTTTGTCATTTCGACGTGCCTGTCTCCCAAGACACCTGGGGAGAGATGTCTAAGTGGCTGGTTAGCCAAAAATCTTGATATATCATCCAGTGTATCATCCATGTATAGCAGATATATCCGGTGTACCATTACCCATAGGAGGCTGTGCCCAGCGAACACCCGTAGTAAAGCAACCTGCCCACCCACCCCGTCATAGAACTACCGCTAGATCTAAGGTACAACCCCTCCATCTCAGGTAATCACATTTCCTTTTCTTCATCGCTTCAGTATCGGGAAAGTGTAACTACAGTAGATATAAAATTTAGCTATGAATACATATGTATTGCAAAAAATCGCTATACAGATATGACGGTGCCATGAGGTGCCAGTCAGAAGGACGAACAAGTTCAGAAATCTGTACTGCGTTGGCGAGGTTATAGAAAGATAGTGAGGTGCTGAAGGGTGTAGTATGAGGCGGTGGTAGATGCGGTTGCGTTCACTGAGGAGGGACGTTCAGCAGACGATGGTCAACGTTTAACGAACCCGCACAACCAGTAGCGAAGGAGGGACGTTCAGCAGACGATGGCCGGCGTTTAACGGACCCGCACAACCAGTAGCGAAGGAGGGACGTTCAGCAGACGATGGTCTGCGTTTAACGAACCCGCACAACCAGTAGCGAAGGAGGGACGTTCAGCAGACGATGATCTGCGGTTAACGAACCCGCACAACCAGTAGCAAAGGAGGGACGTTCAGCAGACGATGATCTGCGGTTAACGAACCCGCACAACCAGTAGCAAAGGAGGGACGTTCAGCAGACGATGGCCTGCGTTTAACGGACCCGCACAACCAGTAGCAAAGGAGGGACGTTCAGCAGACGATGGTCTGCGTTTAACGAACCCGCACAACCAGTAGCGAAGGAGGGACGTTCAGCAGACGATGGCCTGCGTTTAACGGACCCGCACAACCAGTAGCAAAGGAGGGACGTTCAGCAGACGATGGTCTGCGTTTAACGAACCCGCACAACCAGTAGCGAAGGAGGGACGTTCAGCAGACGATGGTCTGCGTTTAACGAACCCGCACAACCAGTAGCGAAGGAGGGACGTTCAGCAGACGATGGCCTGCGTTTAACGGACCCGCACAACCAGTAGCAAAGGAGGGACGTTCAGCAGACGATGGTCTGCGTTTAACGAACCCGCACAACCAGTAGCGAAGGAGGGACGTTCAGCAGACGATGGTCTGCGTTTAACGAACCCGCACAACCAGTAGCGAAGGAGGGACGTTCAGCAGACGATGGCCTGCGTTTAACGAACCCTCACAACCAGTAGCAAGGAGGGACTTTAGGCAGGGTTATGAGCGCTGTGTCAGAAGTATGGGAAGCATTATTGTCACGCTTATCAAACTAAAATCAGGTGCCTGCAAACGCATGCGTACGAACTTGTTTCCTAATTAATCGATTTGATTATCTCAGCCGCTAGAACTCGCTCAAGCCTCACCGGTTATTTCTCGTCGTTCATATTCTGACTCTGAGTTCTCTCCAATTAATTGCAAGCTTGTCCTCGCATTATAATCGGTGTTCTTTAAACGTATGTTAGATTCATTAAACTTTGATCTCGCCTGTTGCAGTATGGCTCGTCTTTATTGGTGAAACTCCCGTGCTGCGCTCCCCGAGTGCTTGCCGAGCATACCTGTCCTCCTGAACTTGTTCCTCATGATATGCGTATGTTGTTAGTGCTCCGCGTTGTTTGGAAAGGGTGAATACTTAATGATTTTCGACAGGTTGCTAGTATTTCAAAGCACCGGTCGCTCCTTACGTGCCATTGCACAATACAATATAGTGTCACAGCTTGTCACAAGCGGTTGTGTACTTACAATGGACGTAGTTTGACCGCTCCAAGACTTGAGCACGGACCGACCCCAGCCCGACTTTATTCATATCAGTCAATACTGCCATCGATGGTCATCGTCGCACCTTGTGGCGCCTTGTCAAGTTGTCAGGACGTTGAAGGGTGGTGCATCGTCGTATCAAAGCTTTGTGAACTTGATTTCACTCTTTGATTTGAGAAAGGCGTCATTTTAACATCTCTTCTGGCTTTAATGCTACTGTCGGCAACATGCAGAATTTGGGCCTTGAGATATCCTCCCCCTCGCGATATTTCGCGGAAAAGTCGATGGGCGAAACTGGTGCGTTGCAATAGCTTTATGTGTCTACCTCGAACCAACTTGGCGGGCAGGTTTTGTTGAGACCGGCCATTGTTGCGTCCTGCTTCAACTTCTTCATCGTCTTGTCACTCAAGAGAGCAGCATCGGTCGTGCGGCCTTACATCCTTGAACCACTCGCGCTGCTTGTGTCTTGGATACTCACCCGACTGAACCATCATCGGACGCGATCATCATCAACCATCCTCCTACTGTTTTGGCCTTGTTACACCGTCGACCTCGCGATATGGACCAAATCGTTCGTGTAGGGCGAAGTTTCGAAGGGACTTTTCGTAGTTCTCTCAAATGGGCTGTCGAACTTTTCTCTCTCCCGGCACACGCGCTGGAGTGCGTCTCCCCTGATGATTCGGTCAAGGATAATACGGAGAGCCCAATGGTCACGGCAAATGTATACAGCATCTGGTGATTTGCTTGGTTGACACCGTTGATGCAGAAAGGTTCGAAAGAGTTCATCACGACTTGCCTGCTTTGCTTCCCCATGGCGAGTCAGAATATTGGAAACGATCTAGAGAGCGCTCTAGAGGAGCAGTGAGTGTAATTTTGATAAAAATGGTTTTCTTTGTCCGACCGAGTTGCAGTTCGTCCTTATGGCTCGCATTGTTCCTACTTATGGCGGCCCGTACGCAGGTGCTGCATTCTTGAAAATCTTACAGGATATTCTTGCATTACTGCAACATCAACTTCTCCAACGGTGCAGCCAACCTCCTCGTTGGTCCGAGCACGCTCGAGGAATACGTTGTTGCCATCATCATATTTGTGGCATCTATGCTATGGTGAGTAATAATCGTTCAACAATCGTTGACTGCGTCACAGTTTAGTCAAGTCACGTCGAACGTCGTCGAGGCCCTCGTTTCCGTCAAACGTCTATAAGGCTTCCTGCACGCTGAGGAGCTGCAGCAGAATGCCCTCGTGAAGGTGCAGAAAAGCAGTCTGGACGTCGGTGACGAGGTTGGCAATTCTCTAACTACTTATGATTGTTTTCACATTTGTGACAGGTGCTTTCAATCAAAAATGGCGAATTTTAGTGGAACAGACAAGATACATCAGCTGCTCTGGAAGATATAAACTTGACGGTACACAAGGGGGAACTCGTGGGTGTACTTGGTAGTGTGGGCAGCGGGAAGAGTAGCTTGTTGTCAGCGATTATCGGGGACGTGCGAAAGACAGAGGGTGAGGTGGCTTTGTTCGGCAATGTAGCTTACGCTGCTCAGACTCCTTGGTGCGTCGCATATGCAGGATTTTCTAGCACGTTCACTCACAAGCGAATAGGATTCTTTCTGCGTTGGTTCGAGGTGATATACTTTTTTCACATGAGTACGATGAGGCGCTTTATAACCTTGTTATCGAAGGTGTGTACACAATTAACTGTGTTAGGTTTGGACTGACCCTTCTCTGCAGCTTGTGCTTTGAAGCCCAACTTAGATTTTCTCCTACAGGGTGATCTGACGGAGGTCGGTGAAAAGGGTGTGTTTCTGACTATCCTTTTGGCGACCCAATAATGCTTATGGCGTCCGTTCTATAGCCATTACTGTAAGTACTTCGGGATAGTAACGTATCAGCCAAAGGTAATTGATCTCTCAGCTCAGCGGTGCATCCTGCAGGGTTCTCCTTGGTGATGTTTTAGCTGCCATCTATTCCCACGTTGCCCGACACGTCTTTGGTGAGTAAGAGCATCCGGTCTCAGACTTCTTTCTTTTTAATGATACTATGTAACAGATCATGGGTCCTCAAGGCTTACTCGCAACCAAAGCGCGCGTTCTTGTCACTAACAGCATCTCGTATCTCAAGTATTTCGATCAACTTGTTTACCTGCGCCGCGGTATGATCTTGGAGAGTGGAAAATAACAAATAACTAATCAATACTTCAAGATCAAATTTTATTAAAGTGATTTATATTAGGATTAAGGGGAAGGTCACGGCAACGTTATTGCGATTATGGCCCATATGTTGCACAGACATGTCCGGAATATGGTGGGTACACATAGAGTTGAAACTGAGCGTTTCAAAGTTTCGATTTAGACAACGCATTAAACGTGACGTAACGCGTCCGTGTCAGTTATTCTCACGACTGATTCTAAGTTGCTAACATCCACGAGAGCCAAGGAATTCCTCACTAAAGAGCTGTTTATTAAGAAAAATGTGGTACGAGGGACATGCACCCTCAACGTCTAACGTTGACGGGGTCGCCGCGCACCGACGATTCGGACGAACGCCTTGCATGAAGCTGCAAAGCATAATTGTTGCCACGCGACACAGCTACCTCCTATACAGGTCAAAATGACCCTTTCCTTACCTGTTGCACATGACGCGTAGTACCTGGCGATTTTTAATTAGTGCTTCGGAAAAGAAAAAGAAAGTCGTTACTAGCAAGGGTCGGTGATACATGAGCTTGTCAAGATGACAGAAGAAAGTGGTAACCTACTCGTTAATCACGCCCACAAAGTGATCGAACAGGAAGTTTCCAATGCGAGTCTCGTGGCGGACGAGGAGCTCAGACGCGGTCCGTCCCATGATAAGTTAAGTTAGAAGAGACACAATTATACGTGCGACATAAGTTCACACTTTGGTCCCAGTAGATTTAAGGATCTTAACACAACTTTGGCTCACGTAAATAGGGAACGTCGCGTCAATGAATGTGATATCCTTCCATGTTACACTCGTACTATCAGTACACGATCTGTCGAAAATTTTAAAAATCCAAACTTGATGACAGCACCGTTTCTTTAGCTCTTGAAACAAGCTGCACAAAGAATGCAGTTTCAGATGGTTACATAGAATGTCAGGTAGGGAGCTTCATCGCCGAGAAAACTCGACATAATTGTGTTCTCAAATAAGCGTTCGCTACAGACGCCGCTCGACCGCCTGCGCCGAGTGAACCAACTGACAAACCGTGCAATCCTTCGCAGTGATCATCTCTACAGCCAGACGTAAGCTCACTCTTTGCGTTGGCGAAAGTCGACGAACCTCCAGGCGATGTTCTTGGCGCCGCTGACGATAGCCAAATAGTCATCTCCGTTAACGACATAGCTGTTTTTGAAAAGCAACTCGGTGTCTGCAGCCGAAAATCCCTCCCTGCATACGTTCAGCTAAATAAAAACCAAATCAAGAGCTCAGTAACGCGCGTATGAATGGACACGACTATTCAAGAGTTTAAACAAAGTGTAATACACCATCGACACAGCATCAGACTCACGGCATTGTCAGAACCGGCCAGGATGATGATATTGTTCAAGATGTATATATTGCTTGATTCTGCAATACCAAAATTCCATGCGACAGGCTGCGGGAGACGATTGAAAATTAGCCAGGGAGCTCTCAAAAACGCATATTTACCTTATCTTCGTATCTCTGACGATCTCATTTGTAAAACATTTAAACAGTCAACCGTGAGGTATGTTTATCTGCTGCACAATATCCCACCACTAGTTTATTTCAGCACAACCAAAGAGTCGGAGGACTCTTACCTGTTGGCCACGTCCATCTACCCAACCCAGTCAGGGTCAGCATTACCGCGGAGCATGACGTTGTTTCCTCCAGTGAACAAGAACCTGATGAAATTATGGGATACGAAATGTTGAAACATGTTATTTGTGAGGGTGAAAACGCAATTGGGGACCGCACGCTGTAAGTCGTGTTAGCCTCGAACACAACTGACGCGTCAGACGTGTAGTCAGAAATTGCGACCATCAGGGCACGTATATTATCTGCATCTTCGGTATGTGGGACAATAAATATCGACCATGCGCCTGCAATGGCAGCATACCCAAGAAGAACAGAGAATGAGCGGCGTTCTTGCGACCATCATCCTGAAAATCCGAGCTGAGCTGAGGCGTCATAGGTTCTGGCGTAGAATGAGGGTATTATGTATGCGAGCCTCGATCGTTGTAGCCTTAGTAGGCACGGTATGGCTTGGAGCCCGGGATGAGGATTATGACATGGCATGCGTTGGGCATGCGAGGTTCCAACTTCCCGCAATCCAAATGGTCACGGTTTACAAGACGACTTCAGGCTGCTCCTGCTGATCGTCTGTCGAGAAAATGTTCGTGAGGTCATTGAAAAGCTAGTAGAGCATGTTTAGCATCAAGGTTTGCGAATGAAAGATTCTGAATAGACGGACCTCGAGAATAGGCATGATGTGTTCAGCTAGTTTCCATCGTGCTGTCGTGAGCCGACGTGTTTCTGCCATGAAAATCAGCCATGAGAGCACAATACTTATAATAAATCGCACTGAAAAGTAGACTTTGACATTTTTAGATGCCAGAATCGAAGGTCACGTATTCCACACGTGACGCTAAAACCGTCGTAAAACGCTCGAAGGCCAAAAGTTTAAAGCACTAAACATTGACACTGTTGCTGACTGGGTCTCGGGTCTGTATCAAAGTCTGAAAGTTTTCAGTTAGCACTCACTCGGTGATCCATGGCCCGGACTAAGCAAACGGCTCGTAGATCTAATGGCGGGAAGGCTCAAGGTCGTGTGTCAATCACGGATCCTGGAAAGCTGAAGATCAGAATACCAGCGCAGACAGTACGCGCTCATGTCGATGTATCTTCACCACATGAGGTGAAAAATGATGTACATGACGTTTATGATAACCTCAACGTATTCTAACTAACGTGTCTACGCAGTTCTGTGTCCTCTGTCGAGACGGCAGTGAAAACCTTGTCATCTTCACTTGCGACGAGTGCCCACGCGTCATTTGCACTCGTTGCATTGATGTTCCTTCAAATTATATCGAGGAATTGAAAAAAATGGACGTCAAATTTCGCTGCGTCCTTTGTCACACAGCGTTGATGAAGAAATTAAACGACCAGACACCGTACTATGCGAGTATTCTTACATCATATCCCCAGTCTTTTACTCACTATATACTTCAGGGATTTTTCAGGGACGCACAGCCCGTTCTCCCGTTCTTTCTGCCTGTTCGTGTGCAATTAGAGACATCCAAGCGTTCCGAGATATCTGCCTCGCATATCCTTATTATCCACTTTAAACTGGTTGACCACGTGACTACTGGGAGCCCGGTTGACATCATCCACCAATTTTTGGCGCCGTATTTTCCATATGGTGGTCTCCGCAAGCTCGACGTAGTCTTTGATCTAGGCACTTCTTCGAAAGTCAAAGGTTACAATGAACAATGCATGGAGCTCGCCAAGGACGTCGTCGAACAGGACCATTACAAGTCCGTATGTATTGTGATTACGACCCATACAGACGATGACCGCGGTGATCCGTTCATTGGCCGTAAAAAAGGAGACAAAAGCGGATACGTCTCTGCTTCTGTTCCTGAGGTAAGCTCCCTCTTGTTCGACCAATGATACGCTCAATATTTTCCCTGTCAGTTCTTGAACGTTCTCTTCAAGCCGTGGCAGGACGCAATCACCCGCGCTAAAGACACGACGATGTTCTTCATGGGCTGCGGAGCCATCGTCAATAATACCGAATCATTTCGCGATCTGCGTCTGTCCGTTCTCAACTCCAAACTTTCATCTGCAATTGCATTCACAGCCCCGCACTTCCAACCGTCATTCACATGTCATTTGGTAGTCGCTTTTGCTGAGCATGTCCTCATCGAAGGTTTTCCCCTCCGTGAAGCATTCCCCGAGATTCTCGGTCACTCATATCGACTGGGAATGCACACAGACATAATTCTTATGACAAGATCTGAAACCAACGGCGCAGCAACGCTGCAATGCACCCGATATGCATGGTCCCACGCTACAGCTCGTCCATGGGGATCACTGCTTCCACTCCAATGCCCGCAATGCGGCTGCATAACCAAATGGAATTTCAGTCGTGACTCGAACAAGTCTATTTTTGTCTGTTCCTACAAGGATTGTGGTCGCGGTCGTGGCACGAAAAACCTTCCTCCCAAGAGGTACATCCTTCAGTGCCCAGAGGGCGCCAAGCGGCTCATCCCAGGGAAAAGGCACAATGCTGGATGGCTGGAGGTGCCTCTAGACTTTTCCCAACCTAACAAGGTAACCAAATTTTCAGACATGTAATAATAACATAATTCCAAATCTCCTCGCAACGCTCCACTCTTTAGATTCAAATTTCTGCCGGACTATCTTATTCTGTGACCTGGCGTCCGCTACAGATACAGCGCATGCAGCCTTCGTCGTAACACCAGAAAGCTCTCCAGTACTCATAGCTAAACACCCGGTTCTCGTTCTTGATCATCAGATATGCAATTAGTAACCAAGAGTATAAAATTATAAATAGGCGCTATTTGAGACGCGCAAGGGCCTTATACTGTTTGAGAAGTCGCTGGGACGATCCCCAACTAGACAGTCCCTCATCCTGCTCCGACTCAAGGCATACCGACCTTCTGCAAGACCACGAAACTTCAAAAGGGGGTTTGAGGCCTAGGTAGAAAGTAAGAAATCCCAGAAAGTGAATGGTACGCGTTATCACCGTGGGCGTTGATGTGATCCGGTAGATATCCCATGGTTTGTTCTATGTGATCACATTCTTGGCATAGTGAGTAATTGTGACGCACATCTAACATCTCCCGGTACTGGAAGAACCAGTCCTCCAACAGTCCATTCTCCTCTTGCGCCTGGCCGCCCGCCCACTGCAGGTCTGAAAGGCTGATAGTATCTGAAAACTTCGTATGAATCACAAGAAGTCCCTCTGGTGTCCAGGACGCGTTGTTCTGTTGGTTCCCTTTTTCGTCACACGCGCCACCAAAATTTCACAAATCTCATTAGAATTGCACACTGCTGTAAGGGTGGAAACCCGCCAGGATATCAGCGGGAAACACTAAACGAATCAAGCCCATGGTGATAAATAGTGAATTTCCGAGTGTGATATAAAAGAGCAGATGGTGGTAAGTAGGTAACTAGTTAGATGGGGTGACGCTTACAGGGGCGCGCCCTTGACACCAATAAGATAAGATTCGGCGATGCTGAGCGGTCACATTTAGCAGCAGCAGGAATTTGGTTCTTGAACTCATTTCAGATTCGACAAGAATCCGAAACGAGTTTAAGGACCTCAGAATTGAATTGAAGTAAAATAGAAGCCCACCTTATGAGTCCCAACCACGGTTTGATGGTTCCCGGCATCCACTGATAGTTTCCTGCAGAGCCCGACTGAGCCGACTTCTCAAACAGGCGCCGTTCGAAGATCGACAGACATTCCAGGTCAACGTCCGTGTCGATCAAGTTGGTGCTTCTGCCGGTCTGCTTCAAAAGGGTCGTCCATGCGGCTTCAAGAATGGATTATTCCCGCACGTTCTATTGGTCCGAAAGGTCAGCAAGATCATCTATGCAGGCAGACGGCAAATACCACACCTCTTGCTCAAGGTGCTGTCTAGCTGCCCAATCATCAAACTTAGTCATCCGCTCTTTCTCCTCTTGTCTCCCCTCAGCTTCCTTTCCCTCTCGTTCTTCCTCTTCTCGCCTAAAACAAACTCAACATTGCATCACCTTGAATCAATGCAAGACTTACGTCCGCATCCCTCTCATTGATAAGAGGGAACGAAGGTTCCTCCTACAGTCATGAGTTAAAAGGGAGTGATCAGCGATGCTTACAATAATATCGTCTTGTCCACTAGGGACCTTCTTGCGTATGCATTTGATGTCGAGCTCGAGTTTTCGCATAAACTGTTAGCGGTGAGATAGTCCAGAAGAAATGTGTGGGAGTGCAAGTGTTTGATTCAGAGTCCGAAGTAAGGTGCTCATGCGCTCATGTTTGGGTTTTGTAGATTAGTAAGCTGCACCGCGTTGATGTCACAAACGTATTGACATGGCCCATCCTGAGTCCAAGCGATTGCCCACACGGATTCGTGCCCTGTCTTGATTGGTGCGAGGTTTGTCTCTCCGCTCTCTACATCCCATTGTCTTGCAGTCCCATCGTCAGACCCGCTCAAGACTCACTGACCGTCTCCACTCCAGCAGACAAAAAGCACTCCCTTCAAGTTTGTATGCCCCATCCATTTCACGATGACTTTGCATGTGTCCATCTCCCACAACCTCACTCCGCCATCCTCACTCCCGCTGACCACTTTCTTCCCGTCCGGAGATAATGCTATGGTCCATACCACCAGTCGTCTCCTATCTATTTTCCACTCTTCCATACCCGCAGCGAGCCGTCCAATGAACAAGTCAATATCCATTGTCCGCCTGGTAGATGTATGGCACCGTAGACCCAACTGTTGTGTCCCTCAAATTTCTGGCGAAGCATTATCCTCTAGGTCTCCTGTCTTCCAACGATGGGTGAAGACATCTGGGCGGAGCTCTGTTTCAGCTTTCATCTGACAAAGTCCAAAATTATCACTTACAATGATATGTTCTTCGGCAGGTCACGATGCGTTAATATCAAGACACGGCGAGCGTTAGGTCAAAAGTGCACTGGAAGTTTGAGCTGGCATGTCGTCGTGTTCGCTTCAGAGCTTCTAGCAGGTTGTGAAGCGCCCAAGCCTCGTTCCTGATCAACCCCGCCGTCCTAACTCCCATGTTCATTGTCTGTCCATAAACCAAATTGCGCCTCACTACCCTTGCTACACCCATCGTTCCGAATACGCAACTGAAATACAATATCAACACTGTCAACGAATACATTATAAAGCGTATACCAGTCCGCGACTTTGCGTCTGGTGCTGTTGCTGTGTTTTTGACTGGTTCTACTGGTTATCTTGGGGCTTTTGTGTTGTGTGATCTCCAGCGCCCTGATAGGATTTGGAAGGTCATCTTTCTCGTACGTGCGCCCAATGCTGAACAAGGTGCGGCGCGCCTTAGAGAAGGGTCCAGTCACCGGGACGTTTGTGATGAGCAGTGGCTCACCTCGGGTAGATTCGAGGTGGTGGTTGGAGACGTTGGCCTTGGTTTGTTTAGTATGGGCGAGTCTGATCACCAGTCGCTGCTGAGGCGGACGTCATCTTGCACAGTGGCAGCCTGTGAGCTACTCTATTTTCTCACATGCATACGGTGATGTATTGCGCAGGTGCACTGGCTATACCCACAGGAAAGGCTTCGTGCACCAAACGTGATTGGTACCTTGACTGCTGCAGAACTCGCCTCGACGAAAAAGCAGAAGCTGCTTGTTTTCGTTTCATCAACATCAGAGATTGACATGACTGAAGGACAAGACCAGGTATAGACATATTGATAGGGAGTTTAATGTTGCATCTTTCTTATCTCGTCCTTCGTAATTTAGGGTCGCGCATCAACGACTCGGACGAACGCCTTGCCTGCAGCTGCAAAGCATAATTGTTCCTACGCGACACCGTTACCTGCGGGCTCCACGAAAGGTACTATTGGCGCTACGCTTAACCTTGGAGTTGCCAAAGAATACCAGAGATCTGATAGACGAGATTTTCATACTAGGGAAAATAATTGGAAAGTGCTTATTTCATCACTGCGTCCTCTTTCTCACTTCCGACTCAGGTGCTTTTAGCACCGATATTGCAACAATTCAGGCAGTTGGATTCATGCACACGCGATGTATCGGACTACGATAAGTTTGTTCAAGTGAATTCTAGACTAAGTGCGGTTCGCCACAGCTCCAAGGTTGGTATATCACCACGGACTCAGACAAGAGCGAACAAGACGCTTAAAACCCTCGTGGATGGCACCTGAGAAAAACGCAGATTACATCTGGGAAGCATTTGACATGAATCTAGACTTTACTCATATCATAGCAGCGCCAGAACTTCATATCAATCCTTTTATTACGACAAAATCCTGGCAACAATCTATGTATCTGTTTTTGCCAACGAATGCGATGGTTTCCGATCGGATATGTTATCACATGAACACAAAGTACTTTAGTTAGAGTGAATTGAATTTTGACTATGAACCAGATGCGTGTTAAGAAGAGGGTGCACTGAAAAAGGAGGATGACTTACGGCGAGTTGAGCAACTGGCTTGTTTTGCAGCGTGGTTCCGATCATCCACAGGGTTTGCATTCTGAGTGCGTCGCTCGTAGTGGATGCTAGGATGAGGTTGTGTAGGTATTGCGATATCCCCAGTTTCGTTAGGTCTGTGTCATACCATTTGTTAGATTGAACATCAATCAATCGACAGCACTAGTATCCAGTTGCCTATCAATTGCTGGCACCATTGCGCTATGCTTGAAATCAGGAGACCAGGAACGTCTTGATGAAATAATGTACTGGAGTTTCGCTTACTTGAAGATCACCCCTCGAGTGTAGATGCCAAGGTGTTTACTGGCTGAGTGTACTTTATCCATTACAGGTCAGAATATCAATTCGATGAAACAGTGGCTATCGCTAGTGACTCCGGTATTTCTCAATGCTCTAGTTCAATTGGCAAGAGGAATTATGCCAATGCAACCTACTTGGAAGAATCAATAATATTGTTGCCTTTCCTGAGGAGAAACCGCCCCCCACAAGGCGCGTGAAGCTGGCAGTCGGTTTGCCTTCATCCGCATCAGTGACGCCCGTTACATCCCCTGCTGTGACCTGTCGGTCTTGTCGAAGGAGGGCCATTTGTATTCAGTTTATCTCGTGGAAACTGGTCAGACGAAGGCGTTTGTAATACAGTGGCTGAAATCATTGGAGCGTACTAAGAATAGACGCGCACCTGTGTTATATGATGTGGGTGATAAACTTCAGTCCCAGCTGAAGTCCGCCTTGTTACATAATACGACGAGCCAGATGTTCTGTGAGTAGTATTTGTTATTTGTTATGTATGTACTACCGTGACATAAGTCTACAAACATACTACACCAACCTTAGCTAGTGTAGCTGTCCTCGTCTTGACCGGGCCTAGTCTCTCCACTATCCTCGTGGTTTGCCTTATTACCGCTATCACCTCCATGTACATTGTATCCATCACCTGCGTCCGCCTTGGCCGACCGTTCATACTGCTTCTCCTTTCCCGCACAGCTCGTATAGTCGACTCGACAATTATCTTTAACTGATGTCTTCATTGCTCACACCCAGTCTTAAGCCGCCTCGAGTATTCGCACTCAAACTGCGTGTTGTTCGTTGGCCGTTCCGCTCGCGAGTCAGCTCCTGCCTTTCCATTCTTCCTACCTTCGACTTCTTCAAAGAGGTGCCACCCGGGGACTTTTTAGATGACATGGATGTGATATTAGATGCTCGGGTATGTATCTTATTGCGTTATTCCTGCTAAACATGTAGATTTGATTTCGTCATGCCACAACCACCACACCGCTTCTACCCAGACACACCATTCCAACCCTCGAGCACCTTCCAAGTTCCATATACCAACCACACTCTCCAGCATTACTCCAGCATCCAACTGCATCCACCGCCCGCGCACCCTCCAGCACCCCGCTATGTTCCCACCATCTTTTACGGCACAGTCGCTGACCTCGTCACCGGTCGTCTATGCTCTCACTCTCACTGTGTAGTCTCATGCGCTGGCAAGTATATTCTCCCTTCTCTTGTTTTATTTTACCAAGGACATTAAATAGACTGCTCCATCATCCCATCTGTCCACTTGGCACATCCGATCTATCGCACATGTTTTTAGGACTCTCCGTCACGTATCTCACTCAACAACCCATCCATCTGCAGAGGCCACGATCTCTGATTTTCTCAACACCCACTGCCTCCAACCGCTTCTTGCCTCCGTTTTGTCGCTGTGCCGTTTTCCCTTATTGCTCCTCATCATCTTCGAGCATCTCCTGCCATGTTCACAACTATTCATTTATCATTTAGCCTGCTGTGGCTACTGACGCTTTCTCATAGGCCGTCGCTGCCTTGGCTGATCCAACTTACCACACACTTTTGTACCCGCTGTTTAGTGACGACAAGTCAGCCGGCTGGTTCATCCGTATTTGCGTACGCTTTCCAATGTATTGTGGTCATACTGGTGAGAAACTCGCATTATAATCCTACCACTACTCACCAGCCGGGCTCCGAGATCCTTCGAGTCTTGTGAGAATCAAGTTACAAATGCCCACCATGATGGCGAACGCACGTAGGCAGAATGGTTACGAGTCTAGGTTCTATTCTGGGCATTAGGAACTTCTTGGTTGCCGGCCACATGCTCTGGACTCTGCATTGGCGCCTTTAAGGACCTCACTTCACATGATCAATATAAACTCATTCGATTATTCTCTTGAAATGCAGCACTGAAGACTAATAGTAGTGCGTTCCAACTCTCAAGTCTTCCAGATTTCAGACTTCGGCTTTCTGGATTCTGAGATGATATGGAAATCCATCACTGAAGTAGACCGCGACAGACGTGCGTGTATCAGTCAAATGTCAGTAACCAGTATTCAATTCCAAATCTAGTTGATTTTCTGTTATCGATGGCTTATGTCGTCCCTCGGCGTCATTCAGCGTTCCATTTGTCCTCAATATGCACCAGCACTAACTACTGGTAAGAAACCATGGTTATTTTTGTCAGTTTATGACAACTCGAGCAAGACACGTCAGAACTCTGGAAGCGACAGGTAACAAAATTCCATGGAGGACCAAGAAAGCGAAGAAAGGTCACGGTAGCACTGACGGCATCTCGAGATGACTCGGATGCCCGCGAATGCAGTCACTCGTTCGGAAGAAAGGAAAACAACATTGCGCCGGGAGGAGTCAGACTACAATGTAGAAATGGTTGTTTAGCGACAAAGAAGATATACAGTCGTCGAAACAATATATGGAAGACCTGATTTGCAGACCGGGAGTACGATGATACCGCCTGACCGTGACTTTGTCAATGTGTATATTATAAATATAAGCATGCTCGACTCCATTGTTCGTTTGGAGCACTGGGAGGTTCCAGTTATTAGCAGTTGATCCTCATTCACCGTTTGGTAACACCGCAACAGCGGTCACGGTTGTTGTATTTCCGGAGACAACTTGGATCCGGGTCTGACATTGGTATTGACGAGCTCTGGTGCGTGGTCTGGTCCGATATCCTTCATCGTTGTGTACTCAACTGACATAGTATCTATTAGGGGGGTCGTTGATCCTGTACGTACATACCCTCAATCAATGATAATCGATAAAGTCTTACACTGCCTTTCCAGCGTGATAGTCCAGCTTTGGATTTGTCTGATCGTCAACCGGTCACGCATTCATGTTTGGCACGGTGTCAGACTCACGGACCTCTCATCACAGATCGACAGTATTGGATTGATGGACTGATGACGTGCAGCAAAATGGCATCAGAATTCAACCGAGGAAACAGATGGTTCTAAAAGTTGTTCCGTCTTTTGCTGTGTTCAGTCATCCCTCTGTTTGGGGATCCAAGCGCTAGATGGTGGTATATCTCACCCAGACCAGTTCGACCTGTAATTTAGTAAAACCTTTCTTAGCGAGATGGGTGTTGCGGTCATAGCATCAACATACCTCTTGTACATCCAAATGTAAGTGCTGGAAATATTTATAGGTTATCGATATTGTCATGCTCACCCCAATCATACGTCACTCCAACAGAGGCGGCAACTGCGGAATCACAGTAAAGGTTAGATCGAGACATCCGAGTCAGCGTTAACAGCCGACTGTTACGAACCTACAAAATAGCTAGAAATGCGCCACGAAGTGATCTACAGCCACCAACTGAGACTACAGTCATCTTGTTGGAGGATGGATCTGAGGGTGCGGCGGACTTGGTGGACGTCACGTATGTCGATGACATTTGTGCTAGATATACCACCATCTAGTACTTGGATCCCCAAACAGAGGGATGATTGAACACAGCAAAAGACGGAACAACTTTTAGAACCATCTGTTTCCGCTGGGTGCGACACTGCGACCACTATATTTCAGCTTCGCATGCATGATAACTGTGTGGATGTTTGACGGACCGGGTAAAATCAGTGGGAGACAAGGATGAATCGATGACGTTTGATACTAATTTTACTCAGGCTGGACAAGTATACTTGAGAGAAGAAAGGAAGACTTGGAAAGGCGGATTCGGGTAAGCCTCCGTAAGTAAGATGAAAGCTAATTTGCTTTCGTGTTGTGGTGGGGAAGGTCTGATTGTGTCAGACTGCATCTGCAGTCTGAAGCGTAGCGTTCTGACTCCGGTGTTTGAAGTTATAAAAGAAAAATGGTTGGACGCAGAGGGGACAGACCCTCTAAGTCCGGGATGAAAGGGACCGCGAAGGAACGAGACCAACTCAAAAACACGCTGGTGAGATCGAGGGAGGTGGGTAGGTAACTAAAACTTTGACTGAGGAAACGGAAGACGATACTAGTAGGGAAATTACGATGCAAAGAAGAATCTGGAGGATTTTTTGAGATATGTAAAACGAACCCCAGATCAATGTTATTGGTGGAACCCCTCGTATATCCCAACTAGAAATGTACGCGTATCGGCATATACATATCTTCTAGGATTGAATATTGACCTTGGACGTCAGTGGCTAGTTGATTATATCATTCCACCATGCTCATGATCAGGGAATCACAAGATCACAACTGATATGAATCCTCTAGATTCCTCGCTATATAGAATCGTTAGCATGATATATATTAATCAATACATATCACACGACAGCCGCTTCAACTGACCACCTAACCAAGGGGAAGCAAACTAGCATCTACAACACCAATCTCGTCCGCTGCATCATCAGAATCATCCTAGGAATGCATGATGGGTGTCATAAAACCTACAGACAGTTAACTTAACTCGCACGGACATGAAGACAAGACTTACCAGTCTGAGCTGATTTCAAGATTCCGAATGGTTTGACCAAATTCAAGAACGCAACGATGCGGTTCGTTTTTGCAGTGAGCTCGACAATGACGCTGTTCTCGCTCACATCGACGATCTTTGCTCCAAATTGGTCGGATAAGACGGAGATGGATTGGAGGTGCTGATGTTTAAGGCGGAGGGCCTCGGATGGCGTCAATGGGGGTGGATTATACGGCTCTGTGTGAGAGTTAGGGTGGGCACCACGCTCGAAATTGTGAGCGAGCGTGGTTTCTTTTTCAAGTTCGGTCTCCCGATGAGGTGACCCCGTGGGACCCCGCCTTGGTTGAGTCCATGAGAGGGTCCACCCACGAGTTGATCCTCTAAGTACTCGGGACCAAGGATAGACACTTTGACTCTACGAGGAGTCATTTACGTGTGATAAAACCCGGGCGACATCCTTCCCTATTTCAGCTGCATAGTAACCACCACAAACATGGAGTTGGTTGGTCTGCAACGTGACTAGATCTCTCCGAATGCCCGGGAAATGTTTACAGACTGTGTGAAGCATGAGCTTATTATATCTATGAGTTAACGAAGATTTATATATAGTATACTAGCTGTTCCGCCTACATTATACGACCTTTGCGAGGACATCTCGATCCTGGAATATCCGGCCCATCCGAACATCCGAACATCCGACCCACTTGCAGGTATAATGCAAATCTCACGGTCACAACATACCACGTGACTCACAGCGCCGCCGCGCGTGTCGCGGCTGACACCGTGACCATGGCTGCTACTAGTACCCAGCTATCACTTGCAGGTAAAACTCTCTCCTGGTACACTGTTGAATCTCTGGAGCCTTTTTAGAATGGGTTGAGGCCCAAGGGATGAGGTGGAGGACCCATTGTAGTATTCATTCAATTATGTAAACTTAAGAGGTCTAAAAATGCGAAATACATAATGTTTCATGACATTAAATGGTACAGTGAAAGAATTACGGAAAAAAAAGTGTGAAAATGGTAAAATAATTGAGCTCGCTGTGTGCAACAGCGAGCACGAAGGTTTCGGCAATGCACGCAGTGAGCGCACGAGCGTGCTTACCTATTTTGGTTATCATTTACACGTCGCTGTCGTATCAGGTACGTGGGAACTACACGTGATGCTAAGTCGGCCATAGGTCGGATGTTCGGATGGGCCGGATATTCCAGGATCGAAATATTCTGACCTTTGCCGTACGTCTGACCATGACCCGTTTTTGACCATGTTTCAAAACGGGTTGTGCTTTGCTTCAGTCATGATGCATGATCTTCTCCCAAAATGGTGTACTACTACTAGGAACATTAACAGACATTTCGAGGTACGATGTTTTGAAACTCTCAAGTACTAGAGGGTAAGTAGATTCAGAGATTCAGAGCCTCGGGTACGACGTTCGCGAGCAAATTTCAAACCCAGCACGGTCAACCTTTGACAAGCTACAGTCCGTACCACGAAAATTGTGTCAGATGTGTTTCAGATACAACATGATAGCATTTGGCGGAGTCATCACTAGTCAAGACTCAAGACTCCTAATATCTGGTAAGCTTTTTCCCAATGACGATCCACTTAGCACTAGTAAGTATTGTCCCTGACGGTCAGACCACTTGCTGCACGCTTCTAGGTTACTATGTAGCAACATAATACGGCGGTTGCTTTTGCGGAATCAACAAGCACCTCCTGGAGAACAACGATCCAACGACAATTCCTTTCTGAAAGCAAGAACCTGGTGAGTCTTCCTGATAAGCGGATTCAATTGCTATGTCATAAAATGCAGCAGGAATATTCTGAAGTCTATGGGACCCCGCAGGAGAGATACCACGCGAGGGGCATGATTTAGAGACTAATTCAATACATTTGACAGGTCACACATCATCATAGAGGATGTCACTCGCGTGGACCACACGCCTTCTTTCAGGATGCGACAATGGAGTGGGACACATCAATCTGGTAGCAGGTCGGTCATCGATTCATCCCTGGAATGGCCACACTGACATCAACGACATTGCCATTCATCCCGCTGGCATCCTCTTTGCTTCTGTATCTGGCTCCCATGTCCGTCTCTGGCGGCTCTCAGATCGACGGACCATCGCCATCTTCCGGCATTCATCCATCGCAAGATGTGTCACATTCTCTGTGGACGGCAAGCATATCCTCAGCGGAGGTGATGACAACATCTTAGAAAGGGCCGTACAACATTCAAAGGCGAGTTTCCATTTCTGACTCTCATTACGCAATTCGAAAATCCTTCGTACAGATCCTTGACATCACAACAGCCCGCGATGCATGTCTAACTGGGGATTTGTCTATCGCTGAAGAGCTCCTCACCCAAGAGATCCACACCAACGCCAACGACTTCATTTCATATGCCAATCGTTCGTTCGTTATGGCCCGGAAGCACAAGTTGGACAGCTCCCTTGAGGATGCAATCAAGGTGAGATGGAACCACCCATCATTGTCATCTTATGGAAGGCTAACATTCATCCGTGACATCGTCAATCAACATCAAACCATCATTGATCGGTTTTATCTCGAAAGGCATCGCCCTCTGCAGAAAAGGTCATGTCCGAGAAGCAAGGGTAGCATTCGACGTTGCGTCCATGTTCACGAACCAAAATTCAGAAACCAAGCAATCTCTTCTTTTGATCAAGGTACATTTAATCTGTCTCCCATGCTATCCGCTTCATCCGATATTCCAGGCCATCGCACTCTTCAATGCTGCTCATCAAAGACCTGGCTGACGCTTATGTCGATCCTCTTGCGCGTTGTGTCGTGGAAGTGAGTGTCATGCGGCCACACTCGGTCATCGATCCTGATATTCTCAACTTACACAATAGACATACGTGTTCAACTCGGAATCAAAGCTTTCGATAGCGCGCATCACGACGAAGCTGCTGATCACTACACTTCCGCTGTTAACTCAAACGCTTTCTCACCGAAATACATTCATTTCGCATACCAAGACTTGACCGTGGTGCGTCAAGACGATGCATACATAATGTTTTTCATACCCTAGTGCTTTGTCCAGCTCTTTGGCTGGGACCTGGAATCCTTGTTGCTCATTGGGTCCTTGAAGCACATAAACACCTGATGGATGCCATTGATGAATCTGCGAAGGCAAACTGCCTCGATTGGTCCAATGGCGAGTTTTAGTGATGTCACCCGAGGCCATCATACTCACCTGCATTTGACTCAGAATTCAAGCAAAAATGTAGCGTGCTATGTGCTGCCAACGGAGATTCCGCCCTCGCTGCAAATGATTATGACAAGGCTATCTACCTATACTCAAGGTGCGATGGGAACTATTGTCCCCTAACCGATGCTCATTGTAGCGATACACAGGTCATCGAACTCGACCCTTTGTCTTATCTTGGATACAATTTGAAGCACGCGGCGCTTTATGGTGAAGCGATTGAAACCTTCCACACGATGCTCTCGATATTGGACAATGCACCTGATGTTCAGACACGAAGTAAGTTTCTGATAACGCATTCGTAAACATGTTTAACTCTTTCTCCAGAGCTGCGCCAGCAGTATCTCAGATCTTCTGAAGTAGAACGCGCCATCCGACGGGTCATTGGTGCCCGACTCAACAACGCTCCGCTGCGTGTACTCGACACCAACACCGGTCTCTTATGCAATCGAGAGACGCAGATAGACACCTTCCAAACGAGCACGCAATATAAGGCGCTTGTGTCATCAACAATCACGCATGTAGACTTGCACGTTGAGCACATCGAAGAAGTGGTAAAGAGATACCTGCAATATGCTATGCTATCACACAGGTGGGAAGGGAAGGAACCGCTGCTGCGGGATATCCAATGAAGAAGCTGCGGTTGTTCTGCGAAACTGCTCGTGATGCGGGGTATAGCTGGGCATGGAGCGATACATGCTGCATCGACAAGAGCAACAATGTCGAAGTCCAAGAATCGGTCAACTCCACGTTCGTATGGTATCATCATTCCGCGCTCACGATTGTCTACCTGTCTGATGTTCCGCCTTCGTCAAAGTCTGGCGCGCTGGCAAAGATGCGTGGATGGACGGTTTAGGAATTCATCACTTCCAAAGTCATTATCTTTTATCAGAACAATTGGACTCTTTATCATAAGGATCGTACTCCCAACCACAAGGATTCCGTCGAAATCATGCAGGAGATAAAGGACGCGACGGGCATAGACCAACCAACCATACAGCCTTCCATTCCAGTATGCATAACGCCCGAGAAAAATTTCATTGGACGTCAACCCGCGTTACCACGCGTCAGGAAGACATACTCGTTGTTTGGCGTCTTTGGCGTCCGTCTGCCTGTAGATTATGGTGAGAAGCAAGACGAGGCTCTCGGGCGGCTCCTGCAGGAGATCGTGGCTCGGTCGGGCGACATCAGTAGCCCTGATTGGGTCGGAAAATCATCAGAGTTCGACAGCTGTCTACCAGTGAGCCGTCTCGTGTAATTGGACCGAGCCGCTTATCCAGAGACACATTTGTAAATTTAGCCCACAATGACGTCCCCACCGGTATTTTGAAGGAACTCATGGCTGATGGACTGCACAATGAAGTGCGCCAGCTCACTGAATGGGATGGCCACGATTCAATGCTCGTAGTTTGACGAGCTGTTGAGCGTGCTGACCGTGTTGTGATTTGCAGGCGGCGGCGGCGGCGGCGCATTGCTGGCCAGCTCCGTGCACTCGGCCTTGGCGAATTTCGGCCCAACGAGGAGCTGGGTGATGAGATTGATGATGATGATGGTGATGTCGTATTGGACCAGCCACCGACTACCTCGGATCCCCGAAGTCGCAATCCCCATAGCGGCCAACCAACCTCCCTACATGAATCTGTCCTCGAGCTTCTCCAGGCAGGATTTTACCCCTTAAAGTTCGACCCGCTCTTTAGCAAGAGCGCGGTGATCCTGAAAGTGAAACCCATATGGATACCATCACAGGACCCGTTCTAGTAAGCACTTTAGGTGTGGAGGAATCCCACGAGACTGCCCTCGGACGTCCAGAAGGTAAGAAACCTGTTTTTCGTAAGATTGCCTCCGAGTCATCAAACATAGGTCAGGCCACTGCCGTCAGTCACCCTAAGTTGACAAGTTACTTCGATGTCATTATATTTCCGGTGCAAGGTGAGCGATCACTGGCGAGCTACTTGGGTGGTGGAGGTCGGCACTTTCTCCTCATGCTTATTTTCGAGACATTTGCTCACAAGTCCACTTTGTAGATTGTGACGGGGGTGAGCTTCTTTTGCTTCTTATTTTCTTGAGCGATTGTTTTTTCGAAGATACGGTCGTGTTGGTCTGGTTTAAAGATCTCGTTGAAAACTTTAACGGCGCTCCGCTATGTGAGACACCCGTGGATCTGAGGAACGATTTCGAAGAAGACATCAAACACCTTCTTGATTTTGACCAACGAGTATCCAAGCTCTCAGACAAAGAGGCTCAAATAGCTTTTCAAAAGGTTTTACTGCTCGAGCTGGTGGAGACGAAGTACAAACTGTATTCTGGCTTTCATGATGCAGTTGTGTATCAAGATGGCTATGACAGTACAACAGCCGTTCGACTTGCATACATGTAAGTACTTTAAGTTGTGTCGTTACCATGCTCGCTTTATAATATGTGGTGAAGGTTTACAACATGCCTGGATGCAAAGAAGACTGGGCTACGAGTCAAACACGATGTTTTCGAGGCACACCGCAAATTTTACGGGAGCCGCAAACCATATTACAAAGTGGTGGCTCTAAAAAAGAACGACTCTCCCAGAGAGGACCTACCGCCAGTGAAGCGAATTTCATCATCACCTTCCATCCTCGATGACCTCGTGGACAAGGGAAATCGCCTCCGTGACGAGTTTGTCGAGAAGTACTCAAGCCTCCGCAGTTCCTCGCCCTGTGCTTTGGACCATGATACCCATCTCACCTCTCCTTATACATCTGCATCTTACATGGCAACACAAGCGGTGCATGTTGGTTTCCAAGGATTACAAGTCAACCTGATTGTTGCCAAAATGCATGTCGAAAAGGCATACCAAGACTGACTGGGTACGCGCCATTGCAATGCGAAACAGTGTTTCGAGCCCTAGGCGTTCTTCTGATCCTAGGGAACAACAGATCCTAAAAGTTGTGCAATACTTTGCGCAGCGGCCGTTGTTCCAAGACGTACTCTCTTTTTCCGAGGAAGAAATCAAGACTATTATGGCATCTTATGCTTACACTCGTAACCAGTCATTCGGGTTCTCTGTTGCCTTCAGAGAGCTTTGCGTCATCAAAGTGCGAGTACAAGGCGGAGTCCCTTTCGAGGATAAATTTGCACAGGCTCTTTCGCAGGCACAGGATGACACAGACGATTGAGGTTTTCTGTTTTTCATGACGGTATATCGATCGGCGTATCTGATTGAACCAGTTGTCTTGTTTACATCCCATAAGTACTTCAATACACGTTGCATCTATCCTTATGATACGTGGCGCCAATGAACTTGTCTGACAGCCAGTGCACCTTCGTTGTCAACCAAAGAGTAAAAGCCAAGAATGTAATTGGGCAAGCCTTGCTTCGCGATTGTAAAATCGGACAACCAAGCACAACCCGGTACTACTGCATCTGTGATTATCTTGATCTACCTCCTGGGATCCATGCGAAGGTTAGGACTGGTAGAGTGTATTTGATCAACGTATTTCTTATAGCCGGCGTACTTGAAGTTGCCGCGCATTTGACGTAGTAAGAACCTGTAGTTTTTTTGCATGCATCATGCATCTGAAATATCATTGTGTACTGCATTTCTGCTGCGTCAGGCCTCGTGATAGCTATCAATGAGTAATATATCAGCGTAGTGCTTTGGCCATATAATGCTGGCCATAATACAAAAGATCGACATGAATAGAATTAAGGCATTGGCATTTCAGCATCTTTTAGGACCCCTCTGATCGGTCTGTGTATCACCTGCCTGAAGGTCCGACATATGATAGCCTATCACATGCGATGGCGTTCAAATGTTCAATATCAATCTCCATGGTCCCAAGGAAGAAAGCATTGAAAGATAGCCGCCATCCGACAAAGAATGTATAATAGTGTAGTTGGTCTGGGATAGACGATTAATGTAAATTTTTACCTGAATGAAGTGTTATGCTGCAATAACAAGCCCTCGTTCCGGCCCGCGCTTCACCTTGTTGAACGACATTTAGAATTGTGCCAATGAAACGTGCCAAGTGAGGACATTCATCCACAGTGATACCATGGAAAGTTTCTCTTCCAAGCTTGCAATGGGACCTGAATGCGGAACGCAAAACCTCGGGAGCAAGTGTCTGGGAATTTCGTACAATACTCGGACCTTTACCTTCTGCTCTGTATAATTTGCATTGGATCCATGTGTTAGTTGAGCGGGCACGTGAAAATCCTCAACTGTTGAGTTGAAGAACTCGCTAGTATCACGGTGGCGTACATATGCGGACCATTTGGTGGCGTGGCCGACTTCCGTGACCTGGGAATCGGAAACAATGAGGAACTTCATCACACATTACGAGGTTCGGGACTGACCCGAGAAGATGACTATATCTCAAGTTAGTGGGCTTATATCCCTCACAAACATTCAACACATTTGTCTTAAAGAGCTCTGGAACTCACTGCCTTGGCTGGGTATTGTTGGGTACGACGCTACTAGTAGTGGCGAGCCCCACTGACGACTCATCAATGCGACTCGGACGAGCTACCGGCTGGCTTTTGCATCATTCCTCACTGACCGACCGAAGTCAGAGATGTCCTATGGTAGACTGTTTGTAGAATCGTGTCGGTTCTGTGGAGGTGATGGTGTTGCTGGGACTTTGGAGACCAACATGGACAGGTGTGAATGTTTGCGCAAACTTGTGTTTGAGACGAGCGATCTTGCCAAAGTAAGTTCCTAGTATATGACCTGCTCTCCAATGTTAATTTTAACGGGTTGTACAGGATCCATAAGTAGTATCGGCTAACGACGCTAAGGACACGCAGTTGACGATTACTCCGACTCACAGTGATGTACAACACGAGGTGTCCCTCAAAATAGGACCACTGAGTGAAAATGTGCGGGACAAAGATACAAGCAAAGAACGTATGGTGGTCCAGTCTCTCCTTCCCCAGATCCAAGCGGATGCCATCCCCTCGCCGACGATTTACGAACGTTTGGGAACAAAAGCAGGAGCCTGAACAATGCAGTATACCTGTATCTAATCGTAGGTCACCGATTGCTTCCTAAGCCACACGTTGCTTATTAGATGCTAGGTGACTGCTGAATCGTATGAGACAATTGCTTTCCCCTGCGCGCGAGCTAGAAGACGAAGCTAACGATGGCGGATATTGGAACTGGTCATATTGGGATCCTGATACGAAACAGTATAGCTTCCAGTTGTTCCGTTTGACTTGTTGATGTTGCGTACTAACCAGTGCAATCTCCTTTTCTTGTTATGGTTTTGTTCTTCTACGTCCCGAATTGTTTGGATCAACTTCATCCTGATAAATTTAGCTTTCATCTCATGCCGTCTTCAGAGGTGTATGCCGCATGAGATCTCGTGATATTATTCTGATCCAAGAAATTTCGATTCACATTTTGGACGGTAAATGACCTGTCAGCACCAAATTTACCACTCGTGTAAACTTCCCCTTGCTCCAGGATCTCGTGGAACTTCTTAGGGCAAGAAATATGACGATCTAAGTTGGTTATATACACATCAGTGAGCCAAGTGAGTCACGGCCCTGAAGTTTGCACCCCGTAATTGATGTATTAAATCCAACTCTTTCATAGTCACCACCATCACGCCTACCAAGACGACTTAATATACACCAGAAACTTTGAACACATGGTTTCTATTACGATGGCCCCCGAGTCTTCGGCACAACTTTGACCAGCCATAAGACCTCGACAACGGAGATTTTCAGGAGAGCTATGAAACATAAACGGTGTTGTGACAACACACTTGAAACACCATCAGTGACAAGATCGGACTCTATTCATGGGACCTTGGCCTGTCCATCGGTGGTGATACAACTTGATTTTATGTCATTAGAGTTGACTTGGTATTCAGCCTAGGTCAAGAATGAAGTTCTTCACGCAATTCATTCGGTGTGTTATTGCTGGAAATAATGAAATAGTAAACAATGTGGGCATTATTTGGGTGTCTAGTGTGTATGTGTGGAATCGATACATTCAGGGCCGTCGCCGTCTAAACATAACCTCGGCCTTCCGGCTGGGAGAGCAATTCATCAGAAACCACTCATCTGGGGGACGCTCGCCTTCTTTTTCCAATTTAATATCATAGTTTAGCACAAGATAAGCCATCATGGCCTTCATCACACTAGAAGCAAGCAACCGGGGCTGACAAAACCAGTGAATGAGAACTCAAAACCATAGATCGGGCAAATTTAGCGTACCAAGCATGATGTGCATACCCAAAAGGAATATAGCTTGCACTTGTGGAAGCTAGCAGGCTTTATGGGTCTTCTCCATTGTCCTCGCGCCGCTGTGAAAACCGGAAAGGTTGAAACTCAGATGCGCTTTCGAAGTATTCCTTGTCGAGGTGCATGGGTAGCGACAACGACGTGAGTTCCGCTGGGTATCACGGTACCATCCGAGAATTCGAATTGCCGCATTGCTTTGCACATCATAGGGAATAGTACTAGACGCAAACTCACAGAATTTCTTTTTACAAGACGAGCCACGCAGAAAGCACTTGTCATTACATAATAATTCCATCAGTAAATCATGAGTTCACTTCCTGCCGACAAATGTCTGTACTGAAGTATTAGTAACAGTCACTTCCTCGTGTTGATTATCTTGGATCGCGTCGCTCCCTCCTCGATCTCCTCCCTGAATTATCGGCAGTCTCATCACAGTTTCGGAGTCTCTCCGCCCCTCCGTTCAAAACTATGCATGTGAGAGCTTTTGAAGTCGGCGCAGGTATCGGACGTGTCACATCAGATGTCCTCAACGATCCCGTGGCAAAGCCAGCGAGTCCGGTTTAGAAATCAACGACAGCGGGCATAGGCTTTTATGGAAGGGTATCGCTGATCGAACGAAGAGCGTCACCTTCTTCAAAGGTGCCCTACAATCTTTTGACCCAGTCGCATTAGGGACACCTCTGGATCGTGTGGGTTATCTGCCGCACGATGGTGATGACGAAATGAAAACAGGATTCGACAGGATATGGTACCAATGGTGCCTGGGCCACTTGAAAGATGATGATCTTGTGCAGTTCCCAGTGCAGAGGGGAAGCTCTACGTGATGTAAGGAAGGAGAATATATGCGGCGGGCAAAATGAGCCGGCAACCATTTTCGACGAGCAAGACTCTACTTTCACTCGGTTTGTAAGAAGCGATTTTGTAGCCCAAAATGTTGACTTCACTTCATAGGTCAGACCTTGCATTCAAAAATATTTTCCGGGATGCTAGTCTCAAAATCATCCGAGAGCAAATGCCACACGGGGTTCCAAAAGGGCTGTATCCAGGGATACTTTGTCCCTATCAGCGGAGGTATCGATTCCTGCGCTATAGTGGGTATATTCCATGTGCCGCCTCGTGGCTGAGGCTGCACACAAGGGAGGTACTGTCATTCATCTGCTAGATTTGGCGTTTTGGCTAAAATGATCGCTTCAATCAGACAAGCAACTTATTCTTGATACAAGACGAATGGTCGGAGAGCCGGAAGACTCGGTTCATACCCCTTTGGACCCGCATGAGTTCTGCAACAAGATCTTCCACACGTGTTGCGTGGGCACCAAGAACTCTAGCGCAGAAACGAGAAAGAGGGTCAAGGACCTCTCAGAAGCGATCGGAAGGTATGTATACACTTTAGTCCTCGAGACGCTCGACTAAAAATAAATCCAGCTACCATATGGACTTGAACACAGACACTCTTGTCACCTCTGTCCGTGACCTGTTCGCGTTCGTTACTGGTATGCGACCTCGGTTCAGAGCCCATGGCAGATGTGGCGCAGAGAATTTGGCGCTGCAGGACGTCTAGGTAAGTACTATGAATCGGGATCTACATATTCATTGATGACTGCTGTCAGGCACGGTTACGGATGCTCCTTGCTTATCTCTTCGCTCAACTACTTCCTTGGGTTCGAGGCAGACAGGGTGCACTCCTCGTCCTTGGCAGTGCAAACGTTGATGAAAGGTATGTCGACTGGCTGGAATAGTGACAATTGACTGACTTAGGGTTCAGTCTCCACGGATATTTCACAAAATACGATTGTTCAGCAGGTCAGCCTATCTCGAAAGAAATGCCAACTGAACTAACATTAATACCAGCTGATATCAATCCTATTGCGGGCATCAGTAAGACTGATCTCAAGAAGTTCATTGCCTACGCTCGTGATGCGTTTGAAATTCCCATCTTGGACGAGTTAGTACAGCTGTGTTACTACTAGGATCGGCACTTTTTCCTGATATTCTGCAGTTTTTTGATCGCCATGCCGACCGCTGAGCTAGAGCCAATTTCGGAGACACGTGTCCAAACGTATGAGGTGAATATTCACTCGAAAATGTTCTCTCAATGGTGCTGATCACTCGATAGGTGGACATGGGCATGACGTACGATGAACTATCAGTCTTTGGTCGTTTCCGCAAAGTGGAGAAGTGTGGACCATACGGCATGTTCACGAAGCTGGTGCACAAGTGGGGCTCATTCCTGTCTCCCGTTCAAGTATGTCATCATTCAAGGTTAAGTGCAATCCGCTGATTACGTCTTCTAGATCGTAGAGAAAGTCAAGCATTTCGTCTTTGAATGTGCGCGCAACCGTCATAAGATGACAACCCTGACACCGGCGTACCATGCAGTAGGTATATCCATCTTCACAGACTGATATAAGACTGACGTTGTCGTAGGAATCCTACAGCCCAAATGACAACAGTATGTCACGCTCAAAACTCTACATCACAAGTTGCCCAGACTAATTTGCGTCCTTTTCACTATCCCTTAAGGTTCCCGTGGCAGTTTAAGAAGATAGATGAAGTAGCTGCAGTCCTACCTGATCGCTCCAACTCGGCTGCAGATAAGACCAAGACTGACTGAATAACGTAGAGATCAAGTCCATGTACTTAGACGACATAAGGCCTTAAGGCTCTAAGCCACAATGAAACGATGCTTTGTATTCCAATATGGCGGATATCACGCGAGTACAATACAGTGCGATGGACAGGGAAACCGAAAGGAAATGAATAACAATGTCAACTCAGATTATGTCCGCAAGAAACATGATAGCGTGCTTTGAACCGTTATCTTCTTCATGATCGCCGGCTCCGGAGCTGAGGTGGAAGAATGAGCATCGCTGCGATTAGCATAATTTATAGAATCACCTACGATCAGTTAGGCCTTTTACTTTTCGCTTGATGCTATCCATGACTTCGATCGAAATCTCCTCGAACTTTCATCAATCCTTCCACGAACGGTATACATGGCCCGTGTACTTTCGCGAAAGCCAGGCTTTTAGACGCTTCCAACATCACTAAAATCAAGTCCACCACCTCAAAGTATGGCTCGAGCTCTTTGGTGGGTTTGAACGCGCTGAAAAAGGAGAACACAGTACTGATGTCCTCTTTGATGCGCTCCGTTGCTGCTGCTATGCGTAGTTTTGACGAGTGCAGTAAGATAAGGATAAGTAACCAGGGAGGCGCCAAGCAGATCTTCAACAAGAAGCTCGAGGAGCGATGGATTGATATAAGATTGATCGGCCATGTAATTCCGCATCGTAAGCACGATCTGTTCCATGATACCGTCGTACCGTGTTGGGTGGAAAAGTCACTTCGTCGCAGGCTTCAGGTCGTTGAGGATAATATTAATAAATGTCTGGATGCATTTCTTCGCAACATCCAATTTTCCATCAATGCCGTCATTCAGTAATTCTCTAAAACAAGGGGCTCGAGTCGTCCCAAAAGCGCCTCGGTGTTATCGGCGGACTTGAGATCTGGTCGTTGGCAAGTACCCCACAACACGAGCAAGGATAGCTCCTTGACCACTCTCTGTCGCTGCATCGATTTGTTGGTTCACCATCTGGAACAGGATAACTGCGCCGTGCGTACCAAAGAGTCCGTCGCTGTCCACCCCAGGCGGATCCGAGCGCGTGATGAACTTCCGAATCTCTGTCTTCATTAGGTTCGCAGACCATTCATCGAGCTTCTTGACGATCAATTTCAAGTAGTTCTCGATAAGGTTCTGCTGCTCGCCGCCGACCAATGGTGGATCAAGGAGCTCCGGAACTACATTCAACTCTGTCATGCTCTTCTTGTACTCCTTAATTCAGGCATGAAGATCGTGCATGATGCTAGCGTCAGGCTATGATTAGATGATGCGCTGAAGGGTCGCATTCAGAGTACGATGGTACTCTGAGATATAGAACGCATGCATCTCGTAGCTCGGCGGAAAGAATGGTACCACATCGCTTTCGATGCGGATGAGGTCTTGATATACTATCCAACTAAGACCACCGAGAAAGGCGCTAGGGTCGTGCTGATGTCGCGTATTAGACTCGTGACCAGTCCGTCTATGAGGCAAGCCATCGATAGACGGACTGGTAAATCTGGGTTTGAATTTGGATAGTGCGCGCTTTGGAGTCGTCACATGATCTTTAGCCAATCAAATAATGATACTTTTGAAAAACAAACTGACACAACAAATGAAATGGCGAAATAATCAATTCTTGATTTTGATGCATTGGCGCAGCTGCATTTATGTATCTGCTCTGCAACTTCAATGGATACCAGTACCATCATCCGTGCTGTGCGAGAAGCATCCTTGCAGGCACTATACTCTTTTGCTCGTGGCCGTGACAGTGTGATTACAGCTGCCAGTACAGGCTGTGGGAAGACCCTCTGTCTCATCATTCCTATTCTACTTCGTCCGGACACTATTAGCATCCCATGGTAATGTCAATAAAGCCAGAGTCCACGGAGCGGTTGAGATCGGTTTCAGCCAGCATTGAGAGGTCTCCATCACGTTCAGGCCATCCTTGAGACATTCTGGAATCCTCCTGGGTCGAGGAGAGCTTGAAAGTTGAAACGCTAGGCTGCCTTGCAGCAGTTGGAACGAAAGCTGATCACTGCCAGAGACAACGAGCGACATTACATAGAACACGGTAGTACATGTACGATCGAATAACTTAGCAGACTTATCTAAGCAGTGTCTAAGTCCTAAACGGGGCTCTCCGTCATGTGACGACTCCAAAGCGCGCACTATCCAAATTCAAACCCAGATTTACCAGTCCGTCTATCGATGGCTTGCCTCATAGACGGACTGGTCACGAGTCTAGTCGCGTATATGCGTCGTCAAAATTGACCTAATGTAATAGAGTCCGATATGGTTTTGGTAACTTTAGAGCGGTAGTGCTTAATGTTGTCATTCTTTTGTAATTTAGCTTATCTTGGCGTTTTCACTCTTACTATCTAAGATCTGAACGGCTACACTGCACTTTAGCGCCATTCAGTACTCTTCACATTAGGCGGAGCCTGGCCCAGGAGTACGCTACTAACTTGCTCTACCATTACCTCATTGCAACCAAGATTCCCACTGGGCAATGGCGCGATCATGCTTATAGGCATCATCATGCAAATCAACTCTACCATCCATTAAGTGCAGCTGACATGGATGAGTCCAAGCTAGTAGAATGTATACTACAATTGCCATTAGGGAATCGACAACTGGAGGCCAAGGAACGGCAAAGCCCGTATCATTCAACTATTTCATCCAAGCTATGCCCTGTATGCTAGGGTTTTCAACTACGGAGTAGTAGCTCGAAATTCCATCGAGTAATGGCTATTCTGTCTCTCGCTTGCAACATAAAACCATGCATTTGTATGCGTGTCCTTTATTTTCGTCGCTGAAAGCAATATTACGACGGCAAGGCCCCGCAATCAACGTAACGCACCTTAAAGGACGAGTCATCAGTTTTCTGATGGACACTTTGGATGCTAGAATATCAGTGCGCATACTTGACTAATAGATTAATTCATTGAACCTTGACCGTGCCGAAAGTTTCAAAATTTTCGGTCTTACGGTATCAAGTAGTAACAAGTCGTCCTCGTGAATTATTTGGGGACTCACTAGTATGACACGGAAACGGCGCCAAGATACGTACCATCGTGATAGGGCTTTCAAACGGGCTCATCTGGAGGCACCCGTCAATTCTAGCTCTGACTTGGACTCGGAGAACTTCGATGGTCCACTTGAAATCTGGTTGTCCAATGGGCAGTCTGTTATGTGCTGCGAACGATTGCATACTCAAGTGCACTCTGAGTCAAGTGCACTCTTCTCACCCCCTACCACCATCTGTCCCTTGTTAGCTGCAGTGGGAATGTCATTTGGGCAGTATGGTTTTGTCTGTGACATTACATCTGGTCTTGTGCCTGCTGCCTACCTGTCAGTTCACATGGAGCACCTCCACCACAGACAGAAGTTAAGAAATCGGACACCTTCGACAATCAAATCAGTTCTAGTTACCCACTTACTCAACAGCCACTATCTCATGTTGACGACACCCTGTCCCAGCCCCCCTAGTGATTTGTCCGAGTCCATCCAGGGTCTTCAACCAGAGTGGTCATCCCATTGTCCGCATCCGGGCTGTCGTCATTGGCACGCTGTACCTGCAGGGAAATCTTCTATCAAGGGTCAACAAGCTGGCACCAGAAAACACATCGCTGAAGCCCACCCCGAAAATGCGAAGACTTATTTGGCTGGGGTCTTTGAAATGAGATGGATCTACCGTCCCTTTCACAAAACTGTTGATGGTGAAAACCGGCTGTTCTCCGAAGCAGTCTGGCCTTTTATCAAAGACTACATTCCTGCATCCTTGGCACAAGATGTTATTTCAGTGAGGTCCTCTCGCATCCAATATACGGTTTCTGTCCACAGTCAATACTTGACAGACCTTGGGTGGCAGAAATTTATTGCTAGCCTGGGCCTGCAACCAGGCGTTCTTCGTGGGTTGGTGAGGCTTCAAACAAAGAAAGAGGCACTATCCTTGGAGGGAATAGAAAAGCAGCTTGAGCTCGGTCTTATTATCATTCGGAAGCTCTACAGGTCATATATTGTGGACGTCCAAACCTATATATCTTCCAAAAATGACCCGCAGTTTCGTCAAGCAGTAACAATGAAGTGAGTACTCTCCATCTTTGTCTGTGCATAGCTCATAGTCTATTACTCAGCACCAAGGCGCACTTCAGATCATTGAGCCGAGTTTCTTACTACACCTACTCCAGACCTCTGTCTCGCTGCGTCTGCATGCTCATCAGATGGGTCCATGCTGAGCACACCAGTGCTTTGGCGCCATTCGGCGCTTTTTACATCAGACGGAGTCTGGCCCAGGAGTACGCCACCAACATGCTTTACCATTACCTCATTCAAACCAAGGTTCCCCGTCCTGCTGCGCTTCTCCAACTTCTGCATCAACTGCTTGTGACCCTCGTCAAGCAGAAATTTACGAACCTAGAAACGATGGCATGCCCAACAGACTACACCCTATGTATCGGCTCACTGGCTGACAATGGCGGGTTTCTACTTGCTACCACCACCACCAGAATGTGTGCTGTGCTGCAGCATAACTTCTATACCATCATCATCCATTCTTCTCGGCTTGAGGACCACGGCTACCAACATTTTAATCCATTTTGTTTAGATAATTTCACCCTGGATCCTGTACCAGGTGCAGGTGAGGCGCTTCAACCCATGGGGGAGCCAACCGCTGCCCCAGATGAAGGAGAAAGCGCTAATGATAGTATGTTGGCACAATTTCGGGAAGTAGAGGAAGAGTTTGTAGATGGTCATGATGATAATATAGATACAGAGGAGGGAGAGTCTGTGCTACCGCATGAAGCTGAAGGCGGATGGGATTTTGAAAAAGAGGAAACTTTTCATTCTTACTATTTAAACGGCGACACTGCAGAGAACCTAGGTGAGGCACGAATTAAGGATGGCATACAGTGCACTAATATGAGTGACATATTCAGACAAATATTATGACCCGCGGTCTTCTCTGCCGGCTCAACGATGTCCACCAAAATTTGTAGCTCAGATAGATCGCAATCCTGGGTCCTTGTCGGTCTTAAGGTAAACTATTATATACTGCTTTCACAACTGGGATTACACTTAGCTGCATGATCTATCTATAGCGTTTTGGCGAAGAATTCACACTACGTTCAGCCCTTGCTTGCCAGCCATCCCTCGTTTGCCACACCCTACAACCACATCAAAACTGCCTGGTTCCATTCGAGGCCAACATCATTCAAAGAAAGACGAAACTACGGTTTTTTCTTCACTGAAGACGGGACTGCCATTACCATGCGAGACGGTGACGACATCTCCCGGAGTATCCTGTTTTCAGACATTGGGGTATTAGCCAAGACCACGATATCAAATATATCAGATCAGATAGTCCAGTGCTTGCCACATGGTTGCAAAGATCTTCTTCAACAGTTTCGTGGCATCTCCAGTCAGCTAGTCGATGACCTTACTAGTCCCGACGCCATTTTCCTTCAGTCTTCCAACCGCATTCTCATACAGCCATTATTGGATGCGATGTCAAAACATCTGTCAGACCCAAAAGAACTCGACCATCACATTATGCTTTCTCCCTCTGTGATTACTGAGGAAGCTGCCAGAAAGTGGCTGGCGTTCGACAAGCGAATTCTTGGTCAAATAATTGTCGCCTTTCTCCTAACGTGCGGGATACCTCCCCTACACTGGCAATTTCGGACTTTTCAATTCCAGTCAGATAGCACGACGGGCATCGCTCGTAATCTCTATCTTCTAGGCTCCGAGCTTGTTATAGGTCACCCGGCGGCTAGACAACCCAACCAGGTCTTGCAAGAATGGCTGTGGGCCTTTCCTCCCAGTCTCGCCCCACTTATTCTTTTCTACCTTGCAATCATACGGCCTAGCGTCGTTCACATCACAGGCCTTCTTCATTATGTCAACAACGATCATAAGACTCATATCTTTGCTCATACCTTTCCTACTACTCGCCTTGAATTTCCCCGAGTTTGGAATGGAAGCGATGTCAATAAATTGCTGCAGATTCACACATCCTCTCTTCCAGTCCTGTTATCATGCGGACTTCTGCGAAATGTGATAACCGCCATGTACAATCAACTCTTCCCAGCTCTTTCCCATGTTGGGCCCTCAGATGACTCCATGGTGGATCGCCAAGCCCAACACACAAGGACGACGGGCAACATTCATTATGGGCGGTCTGATCATGTTCCCTTCGCTTTTGGAATGACACTTGAACAGGCTCGCAAATGCATGGCCTCCAGCCAGGCATTGCATGCCTTCTATGGGTTAGGCAGTCTGGATCATCAATGGGCTGAGCGCTTACAAAACTCAGCGTTTCTGACTGACTTGAGGAACGAGAATCTGGGTCTCAAAGAAGCAAGGATTCTTGTCAGAGAGACGTACAACTTACACCACTGTCGCTTGCCACACCAGATAGCTGGCCTTCTGGAGACTGCACCTTACTTAACTCTCAAAGACGTAAGCGAATTATGGGTTTGAAGTTCATCCTCCTTAATGTGTTCACTAGGGGGTTATCGGAGATGAGGTGCTTCGACGGGTGATGCATGCAGTGTTGTTTGGTAGTTCCAGACCCAATATTCTTGATCGTCCTTCTGGAGGAGGATACTTGATTGCCGATGTATCAACCGCTGTGGTACAGGTGAGCAGCTTTATCGTTACTATTGTTTAAGAATGCTCCTAAATAACTTAAGATTGTCAAAGCTGTGGAAGAAGTAGAATGCGGAGCCCAGTTTCATTCCCCAAGACAGATGGACATCAGCACCATCATTCACTTCGACGAAGTAGCAACACAAGCCCAAAGACACCTTGCTGCACTAAAAGACGACTTTCCTACTTCGTGGATGAAACTATGCACTGACGTCCATAGGCTCTATCAGAAACCAGAGTTGTCGAGAGAGATGTCCTGGGTTGTAAGAGGAGTTCCTGGATAAAGACGTTCACATACTATACATGTGTGGTGATGATTATTTAGTCTCACTCAGCCTGAGGCTCGTGCCATTCTGGTATTAAACAAAAGATGTTGGCATCCACACAAGGACAACTTGAACGTCCATTCAGCGAATGAGCCAAATATTGATGTTCAAAGCCACCAATGTTCTCTGCCACACATGATGCCGATTTAGCCGCTGACCATCATGATCATGCTGAACTTAACATCGTTGAGGACGACATACGTGAATAAATTGAAAATGCGCACATTTTTGAAATGTTTGCGCTATCTGGATTCTATTTAATTAGGAGAATGAACAAAGAAAGAAGCTGTAGAAGCGGCACTACGTGCTTGTATAAGAGATCCAATACACACACTGGCTTCAATGCCAAGGGAAGTACTCAATGCTCAGCCCAATCATTTAAATCGCGCATAGCTCATGGAGAGTATTGGTCGAAATGCCAAGGTGCGTGAGTTCTTGGCCCTCCCTTGAATGTCCCTTTTCAAATCAATACTTCTAGCCGTACTTGCCGGTGTTCAGATTGTAGCAATACTGAATGCACAGTTTTTTTCTATATCAATTCGACACTTGGCATAAGCCCGAATTTGAAGTTGTTCAATTGAAATGGCCGGCTGAAAAACGTCAAGAGCATGGCACAACCAGGTTCCAAAAATCTAGTGCGCGCCACAACTGAGCTTACTAGCTTAGAGCAATGACGGCGCAACGAGGCAAGATGTTTGCTGCTCTGGTGTTCTTGTTCCTCAGGATGCTTTAGAATTCGTCCTGCAACAACACGATTCTTTAATGGATACAACGTTGATTCCTAGCATTGTTATCATAATGCCAATTATCAAGTTCGACGGGTATTGGAAGTCCTCCAGCTCCAGCCCCATAAAATCCTTTATGCTTCTCGCCGGAACAAACCGGTAGAAGATGCTGATATTCCCAGCTTTGTCGTTGATCCCACTTGCTCGTACTCCTCCGAAAGATTGTTGATCCACCACCGCACCAGTGCATTTCTCGCTGTGATAGACATTGTCAACAGCATTAGCTAGTTTGTGGCAGTCGGAAGAGCTTTGCGGTCTGCGGTAAAGCTGGAAAGGAAGCCATCAGTCAATGCATGTCGCAGAGACCTTGCAACTTACATGAACCCAGTGATGACCGGATCTAATATTCTTTCATCGTACTCGAGTCAGGATCTTTGATTAGCATATGGCAGGCTGTATGGAGACTCCTTCGAGTCATCGCCTATTGGATCATGAGAAAAGTCGCAGTTGGTTATGCTATTCGCCTTACTGGTGTCTCCAATAAGAACCTCCCCTCCCGCATCCTTGGCTTTCTGGAGGAGGTTCATTATTGTGTCATAGGCTGGACGACCTCTGCAACATTAGTCAGTAACCAGTATGCAGCCCGAAGCATAAAAACGAAACGCACGTTATGGGTTGCTGAAGTCAGATGATGGCCCGACTTCGATCTTCGCAACCTCAGACAGGAGCGGGTCTTTGAATCCAAATGACCAGATCGAAGAGGAAACGTATAGCTGCGACAACGCGGAACACGGTTGTCCTGCACATGTCCATCAATCTTGCGTATCACTCATAATATGCGAACCTTGATACTCAAAGCCTCGAATGCCCGCAAAACTGCATTTCGGATATCTGCGAATTTGTGGACGACGTGGAAGTTCCTCCCTCCTGTATCGCCGATGATTCTCGGATAGCTTTGTACTTGTCTAGGTTTGCGGCAATGTCTTTCCATAGCTTTTGGAATATGAAGCTGCTGCCTGTGAAGTGGGATGCTGCAAAGCTGGGGTGCGATATCGCCTATGTGACAAATTCTGAAGGTGACCCAGAGATCAACTGGAAGAAGTCGAAGAGCTACGAAAGTTTCATTAATCAACTGTCACCAAGATGATCCCACATTACACACCTCAGCGACAGCATCAATCTCAGCCTGCCAAGCACTTCCCTTGACCAAGCGTAGTAACTGCCACCAATTTGTGACAGTACTTGCCGCTAACGAGCTCTGCACTGGCACGCAGGAAGATGGCGATGCGATCGTCCGAGGCATGGCCTCCCATTGTGCCTTGGCAAAAGTGCACATCAGTCGCGCTAGCTACGGTCGAGCCATCTGCCTCATTGTATGTGCAGAGATGGTAACTTGCGGCTTCAGGGTGATATCTACGGTGGGTTAGCTGGTGCCATTGTAGGTATTGGTGTAGAGGAAGGTAGCACACTGTATTTTGCGAAAGAGAATGGTACCAGCTTGCTGGTTTCCGTGCTTGATACCGGCAGAGGGGATTAGTCGGTGTGGAAGCAGGTGCGGTGAACAGAAGCTATGCGTGGCATGATACTAAACAAGAATGAAGGAGCTGCGGTAACTGCACGCGCATGCGTCGATGGTGCAGTTGGCTTGGTGAAAAAGTGGGAACCGACAGACCTATTGTCCAAAAATAACTTTGGCATGACCATCGAGGATGATGGAATGATCGTCAGCAACATCGGCTGACTGATGAAGCTCAGCGCCAGTGACACTATGAGAGGCGTTAATTCAAATGCAGCAAGACACAGAACCGAACGTACGGGAACCAGATGTTAGTACCAAGCCTTTGGCCCGCGTCGTCAGTCAACTTCCAGTTACTAACATATCTACCACGTCGGGAACATCGGGTACCTGGTAGGAAACGTGCTGTAGCGATTGCAAACTGTGGTAGACTCAACGAATGAACCTTTAGGTCACCGGTCCATACATCAAGAGCTTGATTAATAAGTTTTTAACTGGACAACTGACAGATTGCTCTCGGCTATCAGTCCTCACAGAACAAGTTACAAGGAGTCAACGACGAGAAGATAACCGGGTGAGCGACAGTTCTACATAGCTGAGATAATCAAATAGATTAATTAGGAAAATGCACTAAAAAACGACTTTCCTACTTCGTGGATAAAACTTATATGCACGTGCTGACGTCCATAGGCTCTATCAGAAACCAGGGTTGGCGAGAGAGACGTCCTGGGTTGTAAGAGGAGTTCCTGGATAAAGACGTTCACACATGTATGTGTGGTAGTAATAAATATTTAATCTCACTCAGCCTGAGGCTCTTGCCATCATGATGTTAAACGAAAGATGTTGGCATCCGCACAAGGACAATTGACCAGGTTCCAAAAATCTAGTGCGCGCCACAACTGAGCTTACAAGCTTAGAGCAAGGACGGCGCCATGAGGCAAGATGTTTGCTGCCCTGGTGTTCTTCCTTATTCCTCAGGATGCTTAAAAATTCGTCCTGCAACGACGCGATTCTTTAATTGATATGGCGTCAATTCCTAGCACTATTATTCTCAAGCCAATTATCTCAAATCAAATTCGGCGGGCATTGGAAGTCCTCCAACCCCATCAAGTTTCTCCTTTATACTTCTCGCCGAAACCAACCGGTTGAAGGCGCTGATCCTCCCAGCTTTGTCGTTGATCTCACTTGCTCGTACTCCTCCGAAGGGCTGTTGATCCACCACCGTACCAGTGTATTTCTCGTGGCAACAGACGTTGCCAGCAGCATCAGCTTGTTCGTGGCAGTCAGAAGAGCTTTGCGGTCTGTGACAAAGCTGGAAAGCAAGCTATCAGCCAATGCATGTCGCAGAGTTATGTGAACCTCATGCCGTATTCAACCTCGGAAAGACGCTCCGTGGCACCTTGGAGAGAACTACAGGCGCAGTAGGCCGTGGGCAGGCACCACTTTGGCCCGTGAAGCTCCACGGTGTCGTTCTTCCATACCAACGGACTCTGCCCACAAAATCTCATTCGCCAGACAGACGAGCCGCGCCCTCTCTAGCAATGCGCAGCCGCCTCTTTCAGCCACTGCTCGCGTGTAAGCAGCACCCGGCACTGCCGGAGCGCCCGGACACTAAATTTTATGGTCCCGCCCACCAGCTCGAGGTCTTCGTTTCTAGTTTCTGAAGCCCTGCTGGGGTCACTCATCGCCTCCGATTGCTCGAGCAGGCGTGCGCTGGTAATTTAGATCTCGTGCGACTTAGGAACGGCCTCGTGCGCCTTGTTGAGGACGACTTTGGCGCGCTCAGGGGTTTCTGGATGGGTAAGGGCGGGCCAGAGCTCGACGGAAAGTGGGACCACCTCCACGGGGGAGTATGCAGGTATCCGCAGCTGATTCTTCAAGGTTGACAGCTTCCCGAACGGAGTTAGAAAAATCCTCTAGTGCTGCGTGATGTGAATGGATTGCGGTAAATTCAACGAAAAAAGTATATACCTTTACGCAGGGCGGGTTTCTTCAATAAACGTCACGCCCAAGGTCGGCTGCTGTAGGCCGGGTCTTGACGCTCTGGCCGACGTGCTGAGCAGCATTGGCAAGAACGACTTTGCATCCATCCTATAGGGGATACCGGAGACAGCGCAGGAGGTACCGCGGCTCACGTACGTGTAACCGTCCTGCCTCGAGCCGTACATCATCGCTCTTGGAACGCCTTTCGCAACCTGCTTTATGAGTTCCCTTGCAGCAACCGTAAGGCCAGCGCCTTCTCCCAAACGTGCAGCTGCAGTGCAGTGTTTAGGATTTGACTTGATGAGCGAGCCAAACGACATACGGGCAAGCTTTACGTCGCCTACTTCAGCCCCAACCTTGAGAACGACTAAGTGGTGCGAGGTAGCCCTTTAGATCGACAGAGGTAGCAGGGCCGGAGGCAGCGACTGTCCCAGAAATCCACGACGCAATGAGTGAGGTACGATGAGAACTACGAAAAGCAAACTTACTTGGTCGAGCTTTGAGGTCGTAGTGCCGTGGTCAGCAGGAGTCCCGACGACCCCCTCACCTTAGCCTGGGACTTGGTAAGCTCACGCGGAGGGTCCGCAACCTTGGACCCCGAGGGCAGGGCCTTACTTGAGGGGTCAGCAGCGCCTTCGAGATTTACCTTCTTTGCAGGGGCAGCACCTCGCAGGAATCGGCTGACGCGTGGCCTCTAAACCGCATTCAGCAGTCGAGCTTGGGACCGTCTCAATTCACTGCACTTAAGTTAGTCAGAGGCTTCGAAGTGAGGGCAGGCTTCAAAGATGGCAAGTAAAGTTCGACAGCAAGGGGCAAGCGCAAAAGGCCGCGTAGGCAGCTTCGGGGCGAACGGTCGTACCGAGCTTCACAACGTCGCCACGGCGTGAGGCTCACAACCAGCGCCTGACGAGTGCCAAGGAAACAGCCCCAAGAAAGTGGAGAAAGGGGCGCGACTCGAATCAAAGCTAAGCACTCACCCGTCTGCTTTATGCCCGTGGCCAGTGTTAAATTAGGTTGTACTTGAAGCAAAGTAGGTTTTTCCTTCACGCGGAGTTTAAATTGGTAAGCGTCTGGTTTGCAATAGATGATCGCCGTACTGATCGCCGGTCCAAACCCCGTCCTCAAACGCCGGTAATCCGATAAACGAGACATCCTCGAGGACGTTTATAGGGTGTCGTACGATGTCTATGGCCTGGCTTCAAGATCACCACTTTGTCAACATCAGCCTGGAATGTGCCGAAGTCGTGGATTCGCCGATGGAGAACACCAAAATGAACCTCGACGATAGCAACATTGATAATTTCGTTCGCATGCAGTGCAGGTTTTTCATATTTTACAGTGCTCTGTACTATCCACAATATATGCGACTGCCAAAATTTTTTGCTGTTGGTTACGGCCATCTCTCGCCTCCCATAGAAGCAGCCTACGTTTCAAACGCGGTCCCCGTTATCAATCCGTCACGGTGGCTGTATTTTTCGACGGGGTGGGTCCGTTCGTCTGGATGACGTTTCAGTGACTCTCACTCGGGCGCATTTTGAGTCTGCTGCATACGTGCAGTGTAGCGCATTCAGACGTCTCCAACGTCATCGAGAGGCTGCTCAACAAGGCTCTCCCCTCCCAACTGCTGCCTCGTGGGTCATGTCCAGACTAAATGATGATCCTCGATGATTTTCTTACACTGATGCTTCTTACACAGAAAATTTGTCTGCTTTGTCTGCGCCCTTTCTCCGCGGCGTCGCACTGTGTATTGGTACTAAAAGACCAGGTGCGCGAAATAAAGGACGTAGTATCGATGCGATTCTTTCTCATTTTGCTTCTCGACGCACACAGCTCGCAAGCACGTCAAATGATACGCACATCACGTTTGACATCATTATCGTTCGGACGGCAGGCCAAGTACTGTCTCAATATCTCAGATCGCTGTCTTCGGTATCATGAATCCTTCATTTTTGTAGCATTGAATATGCTGCAGAGGCGACAAGCTCATCTGCAAACCCACTTTGCTGTGAGGAAATCAAACTTTGACTCTGATGATCGTAAGTTGACCAATGTCTCTCCTGATGTGCTCCGACGACTTGCCAGTCGACTCGAACAAGGGTGTAAGCTGTCAAATCTTGACATGGATGAATGGAATGCGCTGAAACTCCTGCATCAAGTCAATACCATGTCTACTCGTAGCTAGTCCTGGATCATAGGCTTCGAAAATGTTTGTGAGGAACGAGATACGCAACTACTATGGTTATTTTGGTCTGCCACACATTCACGTTCAATCCAAACCCAGCGTATAGTCCTATCTTTCAGATTATGTATGGGGGCTATTTCATTGATCTTTCAGAGCGCTTACCTCGCACACCGATCCATCGTCATTTCTTGAACTCTGAAGTTGAAGTCGGGGACTGGCGCTTCCCAGCACCGCTACCTTCGATTAATGATATTCGTGCAAGGCGCTCCGGGGAATTTTCGTTCAATAGCTGTCCAAAAGATCAGTCGGACGCTCGATATGTAATTAAGTTTGTCTTTCTGGGCCATACCGCTAAGCTGGGTTTGAATCTCCGTCAGGACCTAACGGCCGTACATGCACAGGCGGACCGCAGCCGTAAAAGAAAATCGACGCCGTAGCTTCAAGCTTCGGCTGCCAGACCGCGGCAGTACTTGCGACATCTAGCTGGAGCCTGGGAAAATGTTTGTGAAAACGTGTGGTCTCGACCATCGTGCGATGATATACATACATGATTCCGACGAAAATGAACGTATAACATATTTACCATACAAAGTCCTTCGGACCGCACTTAAACCCTCCATTTTCACCTCGTACCAGCGGAGCAATCAGTAGTCCCAGGGAAATTTCTCATGAATGTTTATTCAAAAAGAAAGTTTCGCCACTAACCTCCGATTCCCACCACTTACCTCCTTATACTCGGCACTGGAGCAGTTGCAGATGCACTGGCCACGGGCATCAAGCAGACGGGTGAGTCCCTGGCTTTTATTCGAGGCGCGCCCCTTCCTCCACTTTCTTAAGGATGTTTCTTTGGCACTTGTCAGAGGCTGGTAGTGAGCTATGCGCGTCCGCGCTGGCTTGGTGACTGCCGTCTACAAAAAGTCTCGTGCTTTCTAGCGATGAGCAAGGGAGTCGGGCATCTGGAGATGTTGTCAACTTGATGCGAGTAGACTACAGGACCTACGCACCTATGGTTTGATTGCGGTCTCTGGACCACTCCAGGAAGGCAGATTGCACTGGCTTTTGTTGGAGTTGCGATCATGATCATCTCTATTCCGCTAAATACGGCAATTGCACGGATGCTAAAGATGCAGGAGCAACAGATGAAGAACCGCGATCTTTTGGTCAATATCAAAAGGTACGTCAGCCTCGTGTACGCAGAGAATTTCATCAAGGATCGTCATTCATGCAGCATCGAGCGTTATGAATATGTATTCATCCGCCACGTTCTGCACGTGCGCAATGATCTAGAGCTGAAGATGTTGAAGAAAATTGGTATCGTAACGGCACGCATTGATTTCAAGGCAAAGTAGCCCATATTCATCCTTGCGCATCCATCAGGCCCTCAATACGACGCTTTGGGGCAGCATTCCTCGTGCGTCCCTTACCTTTGACTCGTTACTCACAACTAACAGACAGATCTCTCAGTAATCGTGACGTTTAGTTCTTTTGCTACCGCATCTGTGTTCTCGTCGCGACCACTCACAGCCGGCGTCATCTTCCCTGCGATCTCACTGTTTATGCTTCTCCAATTTCCACTTGCTATGGTGAAT